GCAGACAATCTGTGAACAAATATTGGGATACTTAAATGCAGATGAAAGGAATTAAGAAATGACCTGTAATACAGTAATAAACTAATCTTTTCCATGAATCACTTCCTTCCAAAACTCTGAGGCTGTAGCCATATGCCCTTCACAGCTGCCTTGAGGAAGCTTACTAACCCCTTGCATCTGCCAGCGGAACTGTTTGCAGGATCATTTCTGAACTCATTTGTCTGAAATCCGCATGCAAAACGCCATGACTAGAAGCCTGCTAGGCCTTAAGGTGTTCACACGGTGATTTTTTGACCAGCTGCTTTATAGTGCCCCACAGCAAGCAAAACCCATCCAAATACAGTTAGTCTGACTTTCATACTAATGACATACCAGCTGATATTTGGATGGGATTTGTAGTCATGGAAACATTTTAATATGCAGTTGGAATTGTGTCCTCTTTACAGATTTAGCGGCAGCTCACGGATATGTCTCAGGCCCTCCTGAGAGAGGCCAAGTGCTCCTGAAATGCTGCACACGGCTGACTGTGCCCTCGCAAAGGATTGCTCCGATGCCATTACAGACACTATAATGGGGTATTGTAGTGTTCCTAATCAACGAATACTGAAATGGAAAAACACAAGGAAGTCATAAAGCAGCATGCGAGTGCGCACAGCGTCACAGTTGCTATTCCTTTGAGAGCCATTGGCCAGGCTTCTGAGACAGCGAGTTGGAAATCAATAGCAAATTTCTCTCTTACTTTTCTCAGTTGTTTCTCTTCAGAAGATGGCAACATAGCCATACTCCCAATCCTGCATCTTTATCCGCAGTGCTGCGTGGCACGCGGTGCACCGCACCGCTGTATGAGCTTTGCTGCAGCGTTAATTCCAGCGGAGGGTATGGCATGTGCACACACGGATCAGAGGAGGCCCTCTCAGAGCCTGCCTGTCTGCAGCGTGGATCTGGGACGCAGCGAAGAGCAGGACCTGGCAGCGGTTGGGTTCCATCCTGTAGTCCCTGACCGCATCCAGACAAAAAGCAAACAAACCAACAAAACAAACGTGCAACTGAGACAGACCATATGTTGGAGCTGGGCAAACAGGAGTCGTTTCTGTGGTGTGCGTGGATGTATGGCTTGCCTCAGATGACTCAAGGAGGAGACACTGCACGCTTCTGTCCCAGCTCAGCAGCCTGCATGCTGTGGGCTGTCCCTCCTTTACTGGTTTTTATTATAGATTAAAATGCTTTTTTATCTCGCTAGGTTCTCAGCTGCTTATTTTTGCAGATGATTTACAAGTCCTAGATCTGAGGTAAATGCATGGGTTAACGGCAACTGTTGAATTGCAGGAGCTGAGAATCCGGTCTGTTTCCATTTTCCATGGTACAGTTAATGAAAAGTCCGCTTGTGAGCTTTTAAATAGGATTATTTCCTTTCCTTTGCTTGTGAAGTTACACAGATTCAAAAACCTAACTTCTGAGATACAGAAGGGCAAGCCTCCGCTTTCCCAATGAAGAGGTTAAACCAAATTGTATCTGTTCTCTGCTGGTCTTTTCCTAAAACACTGCAAAATACAGACCCACGTACTGAGATCCATTGACATGTTCTTCTCTTTTCTGTGCTAATTAAGTTTTGGGTATTGGATGTGCAGAGCTAGGTTCAAATCATGCTAAAACAGATTTCAAGAGCCAGATATGGGGACGCATGCGCAAGCGCACTGATCGTTCGTGACGCAGCCAGATGCAGGGTGAAAGGTTTTGTCACGCTGGTAGAGAGAACTGGCTCGCATTTGGAGTCACGTGTGGCTGTTTATTTTGGTTGTTCATTTTATTTACTACCAGCAGTTACAGAATTTGATTTTTTCAGAAAAGTTTAGAGTTGCCTGACTTTTTTGTTTAGTTTTGCTAATGAACTGGCAACACAGTTTGGGTAAATCCAGATACTTTTGAAAAAATCCTTTCCTGTGATTTTTGTCAAGTCTGGTTTTTTATGATTTTAAAAAACATAAAAAACTTTAGTCTTTCATGGTTGACTGTAAACTTCAATTTTCTTTCTTATCATATAAACACTTTTCATCTCAATTACCCCATCCGTGTGCTTACTTGCAGTCCAAAACAAATGTGAAGTAACATGACCTGGTGTAAACCTGCTTGATTTTTGAGACTTGTATAAGGAGTTATAATCTTGTATTTGCCTCGAGGTGAGATGAGGCACGTGGGGTGTTGTTACAGCTCAAGTGACATGTGGTGACTTGTTTAACAATCAGGTTAAGTTTTGTTCATGTTATGTGACAGCCAATAAAGTAATTGCTTTGTCTGCAATGATACTTGCACCATGAGAAAGGTTCCAGATTAGGAGGTGTGCTGCCTCTGTAAAGCACTCATTTGAGTGCTTGTGCTTTTAATTGTTTGATTAATGCTGTGCCCTGAAAAATTTTAGGCCCACTTCCATTTCAACTCATTTGGTCTGATCCCATGTGCTAAGATTTCCCTGAGTTTTTATGCTGAACAGGATCACAGAAGGACAAAAATGTAGCTGCTAACCATTCAACAGGAAACGTTTTAGTCTAAAAATTCATCAGTTTGTATAATGCTCAGGGCTGTAAGAAAGATTTAAACCATGAATAAATAACACAAATAGAGCACGTGTGAATGTGTTTAAAGTAGACAGTGGTGTAAGATCTGTAACTAGGTTTTCTTTCTGTGTTTTGGCTGACTTCTGCCATTAATTTTATTTGGAAGTTCACATATGAAGAACAAAATTAATTAGTAACTTAAATATTTTCTCCTCCCCCACATCAGTATTGTGTTTTATAAGGATCTTTTATCGTTTCTTTTGGATCCACATCAGTATTGTGTTTTATCCTTTTACAGCTTTGCGTTACTCAATTAAAGGATCTTTTATCGTTTCTTTTGGAAGCCACATTGCTGACTGGGCTCAAAAATTCCTGTTAAGGGTAGGAAATTTTAACAAAAATTTTAATGCATTTTAACTTCCTGGTGTTGGATGTAATTTTTATGTTTTCTATGAGCAAAGAATGTTTAACTATTTCTGACTTCTCCCTTAAGGTTCATAGATAGCAGCAAATTTATTTATGGCCCAATCAGGGTTAAGAGGGGTCAGAATCTGCTAAGGAGAATTTTTTTCTCTAAAATCTTCAGGCCAGATTGTCTACCCCAGAGGTTCAGGTATCTGAATATACCCACTCCACCTAGTGCTGTACAAGCCAAAAAGATTCTTCATTGCCAGAGCAGTCACCGATTTGCTGTCATTGTAAGTGTTCCAACTTGTAATTGCTGATGGCTATCAGTAAACAGCAGTGATACACATGCTAAATATGTGAGAAATGTGCATTTTATAACTGGAGTCTATTTTCCTGGTGCATCCTTTGGAAGTTATCCTAAATGACTGGCCCCATGTGAAAACTTGGGGCCAATCATAAAACTTTTTCATTTATAGAGAAAGCCTTAAATACTGTAAACCATGTTCTAGATAGAACTGTGGAGTTCAGTGCAAACTATATGGGAATAAACCAGAAAATCTTGCAAGCAGGGAATGTTTTGATGTTTTTCGGGCTAGTAGGGTTTCAACCTGATCGTTGCTGGACTCATTCTCTGAGTTGGGTGAAAATATGCTTTAAAATTCCCCAAAAGCCTCCAGATGAAAGACCTTTTTTCCCCTGTAATTCTGGTATCCTAGAAACTGCTTAAGGTAATTCAATAAAAGAGTGGTGGGTTTTGCCTCATTTTAATGGCTTTAAACTTTGGTACATTTATATGGATGCTTTTTAAGGCTAAGCTAGCTGGGTGAGCCCGAAGTGCTTCTCTCGGAGAAAGCCTAGAAAGCAATATTTGGGACTTGCCTAATATCTGTTGATTTTAGATTTTCTGTGAAATTTTGAACCATAACTCCAAACTTTCAGCCAACACCCTGACCTACAGAACACCAGGAATTCCCACTGGAAGTTTCAAGCTAACATCCACCCGTACTGTGTGTTGAGACAGCTCCATTATTTCCAGCAGAATGATACTGTCACCAGGCCAAAATCAGGTCCCCAGTTTCAGTTAGGGTCCCCAGTTCCAAGTCAGACCAGTAGATTTATGCTCTGGAAGACCAGTGCGTTGAGTTTCAGGTCGCTGTTCTCAGAGCACTGGTACCTGGAGCATGTTCCGTGGCTGTATCTCGCCACCACGGGCATATATTCTGTCGGTGCACACACCATATGTTGGGCACAGCGCCTGATGGCCAGTTCATTCGTAACGAGGCAAATGCTGTGCCCAAAGACTGAATCGGAATGGGATGTTCCTGGAATCAAGTGCTGCTCAGGGTGATTCTAATATACTGTTAATAAATCAGACTCTTCTCCTTTAGCTGTAAACAGACTTAAACATCTGTTTACCTAAATGTTTATATTATGTTTTTCATATACAATTCAAAAGAAGTAGTTTGCCAAATGAATTTTTTCTGAGTAGATACATACCACTTTTCAAATCTGTCTTAGGTGATAATTCTTCCAGTTTTAGTTTTCCTCACTTGTATATGCTGCTTATGGCTAAGTTAGTATTAGCAAAGCCCTGGATAAGGCTCAAACCCTAAGCGGTGGGATTGCCGCTAAGCACAGCAGCAAACCTCCTGGAATAAGTTACTTTCATAGAGACTTTCACCACTTAAGTGCTAGTTACAACTAAATTATTGCTTGCAGTCTCCTTTGCACGTATTCCAGTGAAACTGCAGCCGCGTCCAAGGGCCGCTGATGTAATGCCTTCTGACGGCTTGTACCCTTCTCCTTCCTTTACGCAGGCACACACAGAAAATCCTTCCCTAACAGAGCACAACTCAGCCTGCCTGCAAATCTTTCATGTGTTTCTTTCCAGAGTACAGCCAGAGAAGATGCCCAGCTTAAGAGTTCAAAAGAAAGTTTTGGAAAGAGCACAGAGCAACTCTATTGCCTATGAGTAAAGCACACAGACTGTTAAATCACAGGAAATGACTGGAAATAATTGTCACCAAAGTTTCTTCTTACCTTCTTCAGCAAGTGCTATGAAAGGCGCGATCCCTAGAACGAAGATGACGAGTTGCACTTTAATAAACATCTTCGATCTGCTTAGAGAATAGCTTTCCAATCCTGAGAGCAGACGGATTCAAATCCCGATTGATTTCTTAGAGGCAGGGGAGAAGTTAGGTCGCAAAAAGAAATCACTCCAAAAAATACTTCGGTATTCCAGATGTTCCTCTAAGTGCCTTAGCCTAAAGGGGGAAGGTTTCCCAGAAGATAACTGTCCAGCTAACGAAAACCGAGTGGAGTCGGCATTATTTTCTTTAGCCAAGGGGTGGGAGCGTGCCTAAGGTGGTCCTCAAAGAGGAGCCAGGCCCGCCCTCTGCACTCTGTTTGGTCAGTGCTAAAATTATGATCTCAGCCCAGGTTTAAAGTTACAGGAGCTGTTGTGGCTTTCAGAAGACTTTTATATAGCAAAGAGGGAAA